CGGCGCTTCCTGCTCATTAGGGCCGAGTCTGCGAGCGCCCGGTGCCTCTGGAGGGACCCCCCCTTTCCCTTCCTTTCCCTTCGCTTCCCAGTGGATACACATGGCGAAAACCTGGATAGTATAAAAGTATCTGAACTTATTAGAAATTACAAAAACATATTTTATTGAATCCATATGCTACCTTCTACGTTTTCAGAGCGGTTTTATTAATGATTGAAACGCAGTCTCAAACAGCACAAAGCAGCATTTGTCTTAAAAGAGTCCAGTCGAGAGATTTTCCTTTTTATCTTACAGGTGCACTGAAACAACAGCAAAAACTAGTTAGCCGTGGTGAGGTTTCCCCTCCTGTTATTTTTTTTCCAGAAATAATAGCAATTTTTTTCCCAGTAATGAGTTTTAATTGATTTTTTTTTAGAATAGCAGTAAATACGGCATAACCTGGAATGGCTTTCAGGTCTATAATGCAAAGAAACACACCCTTCATTAGCTAGTGGTAAACTCCTTGATAGGATGTGTCTTTTGGGCCACCAAAAAAAAGAGGATCTTTTTCGATAAAAGTCTGTCAAGTGTATGTTGAATTACAAAATGTATTTTTTTTAGGATAAAATCTGTGCATTGGTTAATTATTACATTCCGTACTCCCAAAAATGATCTTAATTGTGAAAGCATTTTCCTTTTTTTTTTCCCAAAATTTCCTTTGCACTTTCTTTTCTGCTTCCAATAAAGAAGTTTTACTATAGCTTTCAAACACCGAGCCCTTCTTGCACTTCACCTTTAGTAGGTTGCAGACAGGAAGTCCCGTCTCAATAAAGACCATATTGTTTGGTCCTTGCATGGCACATTGCCTTTTATAACTGCATCCTTGCCGTGTTATAATTGCATCGCCGTGGATTTAACGTTAGAATTTGCCGATGTATAAATGGCCCACCATTTGCTGCTGTCTGTTAAAAGCTTGCTGACAATTCGCGTTTCCGTCAGGACTGGTCTTTCTGCAGAAGAGTGGGCATTTGCACATCTCCAGAAATACATTTCGAGCTCAGACCTCTTAATGGGCTTGAAATGCGCGTGCTGCAATAATGAAGTCTCAAAACAAAATGATTTACTGGCTAACAATAAAGCCGAAATGATGTGGTAATAGTTGTACTCCCCAAGCGTATCTCAAAACATACGCAGCATTGTTCAAGCAAACGCACTTTTAAAAATCTGTTTTGACATATCGAATGGACCATTTCATGGCTATGTAGCTATAATCGTCCGCAAGGACTCTATAGGCTAAAAGGAAGAACAAGAGAAATCCCACGAACCGGTTCCTTCGCCTATACGACCGTTCCCGAGTCTGTTTCATATTAAAAATGACCTCTCTCTTTCTATGTTCAGGCGGATGTTTCCCGCAATGAGAGTGAAGATCTCAGGTTTAGACCCACACCAGCAGTATTATATTGCTATGGATATTGTGCCAGTGGATAACAAAAGATACAGGTACGGTGACTTTAAGGCAAAAAGCTTATCGTGTGAGCCATAGGGATCTTGGCTATTGGAAGAAAATATTAACAGTATATAAATTAGCAGAAGGCAGCATTTAACTCTCCTTCAGATTCTTATTTTCAACCCAGCACAGTTAAAGATTTTTTTTAAAAAAAGTGCATTCTGCCAAGTATGCAAAAAACAACTGCAGTTTTATTGAAGTTCTTTATACGTTTGGCTGATGTTGTATATATACTGAAAGCAAATATTCAATGTTTTTTTTCTTTCACTGACTGCACTTTTAGAGTGATCAAAGAGATGCTGTTATCAGATTGCACTCCTCATTAGTATCTTAAATCTAATTCACGTCAGTGGGAATTATTTCAGATTAACAAAAAAAAATGAAATACACAGTTTTTTTTCCCAATGCTAAATGGTATTAACCTTAACATTGATATCAGCAGCATTAAGAGTCTATTAAAATATATTAGAATTTAATCCATAAAAACTTTCTTGGTCATGCTTCAAGCTAATTATTTATGCTAATAGCTGTTTATCATTCATATATTCACTAGCAATAGTCACATATTCATTCAGATGCACCAACATTTCTATTTATTTATTTTTTTCAATAAAGTAATGGCATTTAATTAAGTGAAGCATAATAGCATGAAGAATCATAACAGCATGAAGAGCTATGAGAGGAAGGAAAACCAGATATCCTTTGAATGTTTGAAATTAGGAGGTATGTGCTTGAACTCGATTGCAAGGACTGGCCTGTTTTGGGGAGCTGCTGGATGCTGCTGAAACTGCAGTTCTGCAGGAAGTTTTGCAGGATCAGGCCCACAGAAATGACCATGACGAGCCCTGCACGTGTTGCAGACCTTGCTTTGCAATCACCATCCCATCCTCCACAGGAGCCAGGAGGACTTTTGCCAAGCAGTTCAGTGGAGGCAGGATTGGGTCCTTACCAATTGCTGCTTTCGTGATTTCAAGCCTATATTTAGTATAATTTAGGGAAAACCACGGCAGATTTAATTGTTGAAATAGGAACATTTCAGACGGAGAACAGAAGGTTGGTTCTTCAGGAATGCTGCCATGTTTCCTCTGCCCTATGTCTTTTGCGTGTCCTTACTTCATTGACTGTATTTTCGTCCTTTCCTAAAGAGGTACATGAGACATTTTTTATGATCATTGTGTGTTTTTTTTTTTTTTTTTACAAGATGAATATATAAATACTGAGGTCATACAGTTCTTGTAGTCAGAGAAGGCTTTTTTTTTTTGTCTGTACCCTAGGGAAAATATCTTTTTTTTTTGAACCTGTGCAGTTTGGTTAAAATGGGAAGTCCTTGTGTCGCTTTTATGTTGCAAGTGTGCATTTCCTTAGCAATCTCAGCATGTCATTTCTTGAAGCTCTGAACTGTTTCTTACTTCATGCAAAAAGCAAGGCAAATGCTTCAAACTGAACAAAAATGCTAATATTAAAAAGGACAGTAATATTTAGTATGAGGCTTCAAACAGAATTTCGATCAAAATAAATACATTTATGCTGATCTGTGGTGTCGGCCCAATGTTTTACGGTGGTCTCCAAGCAATTGAAGTAACTTAAAGGTTGTGGGAAGGGCAGTATTTTTTTAGTTGGCAAACTTACATGTTTGCAATCATATATCAGTATATTTTTGCTCTATCATCCTTCTAGATGCTGGTGTTTAACTTGATCTCCCTTTTCGTTGTTTGTGCTAAAATCTCTGCATTTTTTATTACTGACTGTTATTTACATTTGCTGCTCATGTGGCTTTACAAACTGACTGTCCTGTGGGCTTTTTAGGTTTGAAAGACCCAGTGGAAGTCATGTATTGAATCTTTTGCTGCCAGAGCAGATCCCCAAACTAAATAGAAATGAAGAAATTTATACCTAGTTCTACATTTCTAGCTGTAAATTTCTGCAAGCTTAAACTTGGAAACATGTTATTGGTACTTAGGAAGTTATCTACTTTGGTAGAAAAAGGCTGTATTTCATATAAATTAAGAAATATAAAATAAATGAAAAATATTAGGACAATTCGCTGTATGATTTCGGGCTAAGAACTTGTCCCTAGTAAAAGACCTCACCATGGTTCTAGATTTTAGTTTTACAGCTTAGTCTGAACTGCACGAAAATATATTTTGTTTTCATTTCTGATTATTGTTTGTGATTTTCTAATTTTCTCACAAGGAATTGAATTGTACAAACAGATGATTTGATGGGATCTTTCATGCTTTTATATATTATATATAAAAAAACCCCTGATTTTCAGGATTTTACTGTATTTGAAAGACAATATACCTTGCTGGCTTTAACTAGTCCTTTTTAAATTGTCTCATGAAGTATCTGCCTTAAGAATAAGTTTCCTGCTGAAGCTGTCACTGTTTTTATTTGAAAACAACTTCTCCAGCATTGGCCTATTGAATGAAATATGGGCTGTAGTTTATTTTTATTTTTAAGCCTTTTTGCAATGCTATTCATTAAAATTAATATAGTCTGACAGAAATAGCAAGAACATAGCTCGATATAGTTTCATTATTTCTCACAATCCTAATCTATGCTTTTAACTTCTGTAGCTTTAGGCATAGATATTTATTTTAGACTCAGAATCTTCCCAATACGGAATTACTGATATGTTAAATTCAGAGCCAGATCTGCCCATGAGCTACTGCTTGTTTAGAGCAGAGCTGCGGCGCTCGGAGAACTTGGAGCAGCTCAGAGCTCAGCAAGCAGGACAGTGTAAAGACCGTTCCTGATTTTAGCAGAAATAGGGTCAGATAAGAGTGTGTTTTTTAGCCTGCCTTTTTTAGTTACTGAAACTGAGGTTTTGCAACTTAAAAAAAATTATATTTGTCTTTTTGTGTTTGCTGGCAGATGGGTCCTTTCTTCCTGCATAGGCCCTACTATATGAATACAGATCTGGCTGGATAAATTATTCCAAGTTTCCTCGTTGCAGACCCCATTTTTCCTTTCCACAGGTACGTCTATCACAGCTCCAAGTGGATGGTAGCTGGCAACGCGGACTCGCCGGTCCCACCTCGCGTGTACATCCACCCCGACTCGCCGGCCTCGGGCGAGACGTGGATGAGGCAGGTGATCAGCTTCGACAAACTCAAGCTCACCAACAACGAGCTCGACGACCAGGGGCACGTGAGTACACGCGGAGGAGATACGTGGGGCTGAGCGCGGCCTCGGGGAGCCAGGGCTTCTCGGAGCTCTCTGGGAATTTGCCGCGCAGACCTGAGATCTGCCTGCTTCCTAGGCTGGTAATTAAGCGCTTATTAGAGCATGCTGTTTTACTCCCCCCGCCAAGGCCTGCAAGGGGAGTCTTTACAAGGCAAAGCCTCCCAGTGCTGAGGGCTGTCCCCCCGCGCGCTGCTCGCGCCTCCCGCGCTCATCAAAGAGCTCGCCTAAGCGCACGAGCGGCCAGGAGAGATGTTAGGAGCGCGCCATAACTTCACGGGAATAAAAATACGCCTCGCTATTTTCTTAACCTAAACCATTGTGCGAAATCCCACAAGGTGCTAATAATTGCAGGCAAAAAAGGAAAAAAAAAGCGAACAACATGGGAGCTGGGCTCGCCCCGGTAATGATTTATTGCGTACCTTATGAGGCAAGAGCCTTTCACAGCTGAGGCTCATTACTTCTGGAAACGCTGGCGAGGACGTATGCAGCGCGAGCGTTTCTGTTTGCAAGTTCTAAATTGTTTAGTTATGACATTATCTAATGTGACAAAATGTGTTACGTTAATATTTCCTCTTCTCTTCAAAACTGTTGAAACGTGACAGATGTAAGGCAGTATCTTTCCGGCAATCCTTAGAATACTTTCACTTGACACCTTAGGAAATAATTAAAGAATGAGAATTGCTTTTAGTCAGGGTCGAAGCCTTTAATTTTGTAAAATCCCGTAATAAATAGCAAGTGTTGGCTTTCTTTCAAAGGGAGTGCTGAATTCCTGGTGGTGGAGTTTTAAGATGTAAGAGGCAAGTTTTGAGACAGGATGGATTCCATTGACCTTAACATAGCCCAATTTATTAAGCAGGATGCCTTCTCTTTCTCTGAAAAACGTATAAGGAAAATATACCTGCCACACAGCACAAGGGCACTGCATCTATCTCTCTGTGCAGCTGCAACTCTGTGACATTAAGCCAGGTGTTTTGTCAAAATTTATTCCAAGTATCAGCATGAGGGATATTTTTTTTCCTATGTGTTTGCAAAGGAGATTAGCTCAAGACTGCGGTGAAACTGCGCGGGAGTTAAGACATTATGTTACAGACACAGGATATAGGAGATGTGCTGGACTGAGCTAGTTAATCTGGTAACTTGGATGGAGCATCTCCCTTTCATATAATATTGTTTGCAATTTTACCATGTTCTTCCTGAAAAAAGACTACGTGGGTGTTGCATCTTTTGAAATAGTGTTTCTGTTTAGAATTGTTTTTTAAAAAAGAAAAAAGATTCACTCCAGGATTGCAATTTTGGGATCTGATTTGGCAAGGTTTATTTGAGTAAATACCTGCGCGGGTCATTCCCGCAGTTCCCCCGATACTTGTGTATTTGTGATGTTTCTCAAGCGCGAGTTGCATGGGCTGAGTCCTGAGCTTCTCGTCGAGTCTTTAGCCAGGGAAGCAAATGATGCAACTGCTTCTGCAGTGGAGAAGCTGGTTTTTGTACGAGGGGCAATATGTGGATGCAGGGATCCGGCAGGCACTTGCAGTCACAGCCTGCCCTGTGATAACAGCTTGGATATGTAGAGAACTGCATTACCCTATTTTTCCATCATGGATTGTAGCTTTGTTTTCATTCCAAAGCTGAAACCTGCGTAGCGTATGCAGCACACACCATTATTCATAATGTGGAGGAATATAAATTTTCAGGTCTTTAGTTAAGTGTTTCGATTTGGAAACTACTGAAGTAAAAGCTCCAGCGCAGTGATGTGAGACACATTGAACTGATTCAGTGCTACAGCAGCGCCCCTCCTCCCCAAAATGGAAATTTAAGTATTAAAATAAAAGGACAAAAGAAGGATGACTGTAAAATAATTTCATATTTCTCAAATCTGGGAAATTGCAAACATGTCATTCATAATTACCAGAAAAGGCAAAAGCAGAAAGCAGAAAAGTGTCTCTTCCAGTGGGTACATTTTTTCTTTTAAAGCTATGGTAGTGTGGAATGCTGTATTGAAAAAGCTATGTAGCCTCTGAACGCCTCCAGCAATAATGGAAAACGAATAATCATATTTTGTGATGAATATAAAAAACAATTGTTTTTCATAAGCAGGAAGGAACCATTTTTTCTCAAGAGGGTACCAGGGGAGGGATGGTGGATTAAAAGATCTAGGGGTCAAGGCCATACCATGCTTGGCATGTTTATTTTTATGGAGATGGGGTGTATTTTTGGTTATTAGAAAGCTTTTTTTTTGCCTTTTTTCAGATTTTTTTTCCTGCTTAGACAGAATGGCTCAGGGAAAGCTCCATGTGGTCTCTACATGCTGCCTTCATTCCTCTGGTAGTTTAATCACAGGCGGGATTTAGTTGGTTTTCTCTGGTGTACTTTCCACGCTGTGTCTGATTCTGGGGCTCCGGCAGTTATTGCAGATGCTTCTTTGCTCTTACTGTCCTGCTCAGGGGCGGCAGCTTCTGCCGGGTTTCCCTGTTGAAATTCAGGGGCTGGGTTGTTCTTTTTTATTTTTCTTGCATGCGTGATTTTCTTTGACTTTTAGGGAGTCAAAGTGAGATTGACCCAGAGCCCTTTGACTCATCCCAAGGTATTAGCTCTCAGAGTCACTGACAAAGGTGGCTTATGCCTGTGGGCATGGGCACTACATTTGCAAGCAGACGATAAGGCGGTGTTTCTACGTAATATTTATATTCTGGCATAATTAAAGGCAGCTTGCTCCCACTGCGTTGCTCTGGGCCCTGTGCTAAGCGGCGGCTTCGCATTCAAGGAAAGCAACCAGCTCCGGGACGGCTCGTTCCAGAGCAAAGGCCCTGCCTGGGAGAGCTAGGGTGTCTACAGAGATGTTAAGGCTTGATGACATCCTTAAGACACATACTGCAGCATTTGTGTCATTTATCTGAGTTACTGAGATAAAGAAAGGTAAATGGTTGTTTTGCGGTTGCCGCTGAGCAGCGCGTGCTCTTGACATGCCTTGTATCACATGCTAGTTCCTCTCATCTCCCGGTAGCGGAATAAGCACTGTATTGTGAAGTCATTCTTTTGGTCTGATTTGATTTTTTTTTATTTTGAAGTCGGTTTATGTTTGAATTTCAAAAGAAGGGAAAAGTCTATTTTTACGCTATTCTTACTGTGATATTTTTACGCTATTCTCTGTGCTTGTTGATCTATGCTTATGCAAAGGAACATCTTTTTAACTTTCAGTGAAAATTAGACGGTTGTTTTCTTAATTATTTCTTGGGTTTTTTCTTTCAATCTTCCACGTGTGACCAGGCTGGGCTGGAAGCAGAGGCAGATCGTTACGCTGCCCAGACTTCCCTCCGAGCTGTAAGCTCTGCTTCCAGTCAGTGGGTACTTACGTGTTCTTGTCACAAGGAAAAGCTGGAAAACATCAGCATTTGCAATTGCAATTTTTTGAGAATTCATGCTCCCTGACTCCTGGCACTTCCCTCCCTGCCAAAAGCTTGAACGTGTGGGCACTGCAAAGAGGGTAAAGGCAGATTTGGAGTGAGAAGCCGCGAGGTGAGGACCTCACGGCTGGTGGGAAGTGTCTACACAGCTGCGGGGCAGGAGAACTGAGATGTCTTGTGTGATGGCCTTGAGACTCGTGTGATGACAGTGCCTAAGGTCACCATCAGGACGGCGGCCTTGCCGTGGCAGCAACTTACACAACACTTATTATGAGGATTATTCTTGCCGGAAAGCAGTCAGTGTGTTTGTAGATGCTTTGGTGGTTTGATAGAGCTGTGTGAGACCTATGTGTGTGCTTTGGTCCTACAGCGTGAGGGGCTTTAGGCAGAGCAAGGCGTTTAAAGCCAATTGAAAGCAGTGTTGGGCCCTGCCTGGCATTTGGTGGCACCTGCACTGGGTCTTTCTGCTGTTGTTTTTTAAGAGTGCAAAAGGAAAGTTGCTGCTTCTGCAGATAAAATGTTAAATGTTGTTTGTGCTATTAAATGTAAACAAAACCAAAGGAAAAGCCAGGATCTCCTTTTCCTTAGCCTTTCCCTGACAGGAACTTTAGGTAAAAAGTGTCCATGCTGCATGTTGCACCTTCCTCTCATTTTATACACAGCTCACACAGAATTGCTCTTCACTTCTCTAAAGCCCTGCAATTGTGAGTTGAATAGCTAGAATTCAGCATCCTAGCCAGGAACCAAAGACCCCCTTCTACAAGATGCCATACAAAAAAAAAAACATTCTCTGCTACTGATCACTAATGGGCTAGCGATGTTTCAACGCTGGGAGATTTCCATATAGCCTGTGGGGACGCCAGGTCCCTTTCCAGCAATAACCAGGGCTAACGTAGCTCCGATAGCCCATCGGATGGGGAGTGGGCAGCGCACATCTCCCTGCTGCTGTGACTTCACTGCTTCTCCTGTGCGAGCAAAATTGCCCAGAGCTACGTGGCTTGTCAGCGGCAATGGTCAGGTCTGCAGCGTGGCCGGGTACCCGCTTGCACCACAAAACCTGTGGGGAAACTAATCCCAGTGGGAGCTCTGCTGTGCTCGGGCAAAGGCCTCACGCGAGAACGTCCGCAGGGCAGGCCTTGAGCAAACGCACCGGAGCCTCCGGTGTCATTCTCAAAACCCCACTTACTGGCTAAGAAAAACCCTGATTATTCAGAAACCTGGCTTTTTCAAAATGGGGTCATGTTGTCTGGCCAGAAGTGAGCATATTAAACTAGCCAAACTGTAGTTTATCAAAGGGATTTTGATGTCCCTGTGTTGCCTGGATGAACAGGCTTGCCTGGGACCCGGTGTGGAGGCACAAGGGCTCTGTGAAGTGCCGGAGCACTTACACGTTCTGGGGCTACTCAAAGAGCAGGAAATTAAAAAACTTCCCCTGAATTTCGATTAGCATTTCCACAGGCCAATAGCCACAAGCCTATTTATTTATTGAGTTACTAATTTATTAGACCTTCCAAAAATAATAGTTAAGCTTCCAATTATATTATTTTCTTGAAATTTTCTATTTTAGTAGTGTCTAGCTGAAGTGAAATAGAGGGAAGATTCTGCATTTTAAGTCCCTTCTAAAATTTGGGAGCAATAGCAGAGAACATTTTCATGTTTAAATTTATGCCCTGTGAGTTCATAGAGTTCTTGTAGGTTTATCCTTATACTTGTCTTTTGTATGTACAGAGGAGATTGTGTATTGATATTCACTGTGCCTGTATGCATATTATAAACCTAGGGTTATTAACTTCTTGGAGTTTGGGGATTTTGGTGTTATTTCACTCAAAGTTTCTGCTCCTTCAGAGTGTGAGAGTCTCAGCTTGCGCTCAAAACAAAGTTATGTTTCCAGCCTCCAAGATATCGGCAGGGAAAAATGCTTCAAGCATATCCTGAAGGTTTTGAAAACAAAAGGCAATGCTGCTGTTGTTAATCTCAGCAGATCAAATCCAGACTCAAGTGAAAAAAAGCAACTAAACTTTCCTAATTGCAGTGGGACCAGGACTTCACTCCTGATTTCGTTAAGCCAGTCTCCTGAATTTGAAGCTCCCAAGTCATAATTTTTAAATGCTTAGGCTTGGCAATAACGTAAATGCACAGGGATTAGACTACTGTAATAAGAACCTTCAGAGGTTAAAGAAAACATTTCATTTCCAGTAAATGGCATGGTAAACACATGCCACGATCTGTTCCAAAAAGCTATTAGTCCTGAAACAGCAGGGTGTCCTTTCTAGTAAATGTTATCTTTTCCCTTTCATTTTGATTGCACAGATTATCCTGCACTCTATGCACAAGTATCAGCCTCGTGTCCACGTCATCCGCAAGGACTGTGGCGACGACCTGTCCCCCGTCAAGCCTATCCCTTCGGGAGAAGGGGTCAAGGCGTTCTCCTTTCCGGAGACAGTTTTCACTACTGTCACAGCGTACCAAAATCAACAGGTAACGTGGACTTTCTATTGGAAGTTTACAGGCTTCTCAGAGGAGACAAGAGCAGTGCAGGATAGCAGAGAAGGAGATTCTTTTATTACGGCATTTAGTAAAAATGCATTGAGTAACCCTTTTAATATTTAATAGTTTTCACTAGCAGCCTTGCAGCAGCGCCTGGAGGCTATAGCTGAGACTTCAGGCTATGTGAACTACGTGGCGTGTATAAAAGTTAACTCCTGTCACAAAGACCTCGCAGCCTGATAGACATCATTAATAGCGTCCTCATTACGAATGCAGCATTGAAGCAAAAAGAAAAGAGAAGTCTAGTTTTTAACGGCATTTTCATACCTTCAAATGTAGGTAAATGCCCAGATAGATTTTTAAATCATATCGGGGCCAGATTCTACTAATTTCTAAACTCTTTCTGCAAAAGGTGTCCCAGGATCTTTAAGGAGTGGGTGAGGCGCAGAGAAAGCAGCAGCCACTTTCATTAACTGCATTCATTCTTCTTTATTAACTGCAGTTTATCTGGGCCCCAAGGCAGCTTTAGAGTCAAAAATAAACTGCAGGTTGCCTGACTCCAGTGTTTGTCTTTTACTTGCTGCTTGGTAAATATTAACACCGATAGTGACGCCATATTCAGTGTTGTGGCATTTTATCAATTCTACTTATAATATTTCAGCTATATTTTAGGAAGTTATATATGCCTTGTTGTCTTTACAGTGAGAAGGCATTTAAGGGGGCAGTAGCCAGTCAGAGATGGAGAGCATGTAAATAATGAAATATAATTATTTGGTGCCTACCCTATTTATTTAAAGAAATTGAAAATATTAATGTTCTTTTGTAGTTTTTTTATAGAAAATAATGGCCTGCAGGTAATATTCTAGGCCTATATAGAAATAAAATTTCATCTCAGTTTTGTCACAGTTAGGCAATGTATTCTCTTAGGTGAAGAATGACAGTAATGAGAAAATGTCTTTTGCAAAATGCCTTTTGATTGCACAAATGCCTGTAGCTTATCTGAGGATCTGGAAAAGCAATGATCATGAGGCTGGCCCTTATTTTGCTGTGTTTCAAGAAAATTATCGTAAACGATGCAAATTGAAAGATGTTTCTTCTTCAAGGGGAATAAGAAAATTTCATTGTTATCTCCATTAGGAGAGTCGTATTTTGAATTACTTGAAGAAATTGGAGAACTTTCACTATCTCTCTTTAATCATCTTCACAGATAACTCGTCTGAAGATTGACAGAAATCCATTTGCCAAGGGATTTAGAGATTCAGGACGTAACAGGTAGGTGCTGGGAAAGTAGATAGGCTTTTTAATGCAAACAGAATCAGGTTTCAAAAGCTCTTGATGGATATCCTTCTTACAAAGGGGAGTATCTGTATTTATACTCCAGTTAGTAGCAATTCAACTAGCCAACAAGAGAGGTTGCTCTTGAAATCTCCTTTCTCTGGCAAGAGAGAGAAGTTGCAGGATACCAGTGTGAAACGACAGTGCCAGACTCTTGCGCTTAAATGGCATTTAAGGTAGATGAATGGCTCACTGTTTTCTCTTGAAAGCAGAGAAGGCAAGTCCCTCATGCAGTGGCAGGGTGCACTTGCTAGGAGATGGGAGGTCTATGTTTATGTGTCCCTGTAGCCTAAAGAGTTTTAAATTCACAACATGCAATTCCTAGGTGAGTGCTGTTCCTCCTAGGTTATAGATGACCTTGAAACAGGCCTGTTTTCCATCTCTCACGTTGCAGTTGGACTGATTAATAGCTAGCTAGCTCTCTCTTGGTCCGTGAATCTTTCAAAATAGCAATGGGGAATCTGAGTACTGCAAAGTGGAGACTTGGGTCTAGTCCCTGCTGCCAGTACTGATGAGGCATTTTATCCAAAGACTGTTTAATGCAAAATACTTAAGCCTGTTATGAATTGTATGCTAAACCATTTCAGCTAAAAAAAGAAGCATTTAATTGTGGTGCATAGTATACATCGGTTCCAGTGACCACTTTGCGTTTGGTTTCTACAACTGCTATATTTATTACCCAGCTTCCTAGAGAAGGAAGCAAACTGTACCGGTAGGAATGCTCAGAGAGTATCTTTGTAAGCTGCTTTACTGAGCTTTTTTTATAGTAGAGGCTATAAAGCATTAAAAGCCATTTTGTTTCCACCTGAACAGCAAAAAGGCTGAGCTTGCTTAGCAAACTAGAATTTTATTTTTATTTTTTTAAATGCAAGAAGAAGAGAGAAACATTTATAGAAGAGGTGGGGTGGTTATAAAGATGGACTGGAATCATCTGGAAGTATCTTTTCACTTGCATTCCGTATTTGCTGTTTTCTGAGTTTTCTGTCTTCCATCAGGAAGCAATTGGCCATGTCCTGTCCGCAGACCTGGAAGTAACCCCCTTCCACAGGCATAAGTGAGAGTTTTGTCCTCCTTTGTAGCCTTCTTACTTCGAAAGTAAGAAGTGAGCATTAACTTCTAGATAAACCCAGACTGAGGAAACAAAACATGCTGTGTACACTTGGGGAAGAAATAAATTGCCACACATCGCCTTTTTGACAATTCCCCACAGACAGTGTCTCTGCTATGTGTGCTCGTTGCGGAGCTATAAAATAAATACTAAGAGAGCCTTCAAAGACATGTGTAGGTAACAGCCTGGCTCCATGGAAATGTTTGACTTAACGTGAGGTTAAAGTTTCACCCGCAGTGTTCTACAAAGTAAGAGAAGATGTTCTGAAAAATAGAGGATAAATAACTGTTTAAAAATCAATCTTAAACTAGACAGATTTTATCTAAGTGCTAGGTAGATGCAATAGCACTGTTTCATATGCAGCCATGCAAACATAGTTGTAGGAATGGGGCTACAGGGAGGGTTTTTTCTTGATTTAGCTAAGAGCTGTTTGATTTGGGTGTTAAAGAAAAGCATGACATTTGAATTGAAAGACAGTTATAGTCTGCAGAAATGGATTAAAAGGTCAATCCTATAGAATGGATTTCTGTGTAAAGGTATCCGGACTGGTTTTAGAAAATACGATAAATGATTTTGCATATTTTTATCTGCAGTAAATCAGCATTAGTTTACCAAAATCAGTATTCCTGTTTTCTTTGGTAAGCTCTGAATGAATATACTTGTGAATATAGCTCAGATTTTTAATTCAGTAGGAAAATTTCCTTTTAAATTTAAGTTACTAGTTTACTCAGTTGATTATTAATTTATATGGCTGTTAAACATAGAAATTAGAAATTAAAACTTAGAAATATTTAATTAGTGTTATCTTCAATGCTCTATTATTTTTATCATCTAGACATTTTTGTGTGCAACAACAGGGTTAAAAAGATACTGTGGTACTACTATATGCAACTTTTCAGTATCGTTTCATTTACTTTAGCTATCATACTCTAACACTGCTTCATGCAATAGTTCTGCTTAATTAAAAATAATTCCTTTCAGTCCCACAGGCTATTTTATAGAAATCAGTAGCTTCACCTTTTAAACGCATTCCCTGAACATTTGCAAAGTGAAACAGAATTTATGTGCTGAGAATTGTTTCATTCTTCAGTTAGGCCTTAAGTCTGACCCTATAAAAACTTTTACTCAGGAAAGGACCAGAATTTCTCTCTTTAAATACTTCAGGAAAAACATAACTGTTTTGTTAAATAAACTTGGCCATTTGATAGCGTAAATTAGGGTGGTGATAAAATGTGGAAATTGTTCGAAGGCATCTTGTATAAATTATCGCCTTGGCTACACTCCTCCAGGAGGTGGCTTTTATCTCCACTTTAACTAGAAATGAAAATTCACCATTACTGCAGCAAATGAAGGCTATCTTTTTAGGCCAGGTTTAGCTAATAAATACTTTATAACTGTTTCCTGACATGCATTTGTGCTCCTGCTGGAAACACAATGTGGAAGAAGCCGTATTAGAAGAGCATGTTGGTAGCTTCAAATTGGGCTATTTGCATCACTTCGGTTTACAGAGTGTTGCTGCTCAGAGGCAAGCACTTGTATTTGGTATGTGCCTGATGTTGACACTTAGCAGGCCTTTGGGACTCAGCAGCCAAAAGTAACAGCAAAATTACACCTCTGAGCTGCATTATTTAGAAAATTCAGTCAGAAAATGAATGGCCCATTACCTGCAGTGCACAGAATTTCTTCCACATATTGCCTGTTGCAATTGTCTTGACAGTCATTTTCATTTTGTTTTGCCAAACTGTTGGAAGAAAAACACTGAGCATAGTTAGTTACTAAAGGCATTTTTTCCTAAGATAATAAGTGAAACACAGCATTGCTTATAAACTTAGCATCAAAAAAGCGATATATTCATGCTTTGCTCATGTCAGAAGCATGATTTTCTAACTCATGGGTAATGGCTGGGAATCCTTTTTAAAGAAAAGTTGCCTGTGGATCACCTTTCTTCTAATCAGAAATAGGAGATCATCCCTCCGGCAAGGAGAGCAGCTGCTCTCAAGGAAATGTCATACTAGGAAAATATTTAATGTCATTAAAGCCAAAGTAAAAAACAAATCAGAGAGCCAGACTTTGGAATCGGGAAGCTCTTTGCATGCTACCAGCACAGGGACCATAGATCTCCTGGATCGGGATGTTAGCTCTTCTCTAAAAAGCAAAACAAACTCCCTCAAAATAATCCTGAAATGCTACAACTTTTCATGTGTCTGAGGTCAAGAATCCAGAGCAATGTGAGACAAGATACAGCTTACTATCATGACATGATGGTGGTTTTTTTCTAAACAGGATGGGACTGGAAGCTTTGGTAGAATCTTATGCCTTCTGGAGACCTTCACTGAGGACACTTACATTTGAAGATATACCTGGGATACCCAAACAAGGTAACAGTCTTCTTTGTGTACTTCTGGCACAGAAGTGCATGAAGATAAAACTCTGACCACCATGCTTTATAAAATCTAGCATAGTTCGTCACTTGCAGAAAAATATAACAAACCAAAACATTTAACGTATCATAACATATGTTTGAAAGCAGGGCAGTCACAGTCACGCCCTTCCCGCTTCCTTTCCTGCTGCTGTCTGAAGTTAAGGGGCTTGTTGAAGTTATTAATACGTTCAAAGAATGGGAGCTAAATGTCTTGCACCATCTTTAACCTAATACACCTTGGCTGGGTGTGCAGTTTGGAGCTTAGCCAGAAACACTTGCTGGAAGGCCCCTCTAGAAAATCATCCTATTAATGCTGGAATTGCCCATCTGCAGAGAGTGGAGATGTTGATGTAGGCTGGAAGAAAAATAACTAGGATTTACATTAGGATTTTTAGTATGTAGAGGTGTCTGATGGTGTTTTGGAATAGGCAGAGTTCACTGATAAAAATGTATTCTTTCTTTTTACTAGTTCACTTATGTTGAAATCCTGCTAAGTTATTGACAGTCTGTTTATCCCTTTGTATCACCAAGCTGTTTAAAGAGCTGGTTCCTTAGCTGGCATACACAGAGCAAAGGGCTGCGAATGCACTACAGATTTTAGTAACAACTTGGATGGCACAAAACCGGGAGTAGTGAAGAAGGCTTGCTGTGATGCAGTGCTTGCTATGACCTAATCACCATGCAATTTGCTTCCAGTCTCAAATAAAAAGTAGTTAACCTCATAAGCAGGAGTTGTAACTTTGGATATATTGAATGATGGTTGATGCTTGTGTTCCAGTCTTGAATAGGTCATTGCTTTAAAAGCCCATACATGCGCACATACATATTTGCACAAAAATGTAAAATCATTTTTGAATCTCTTTGCATCAGATGTTTTATGTCAGGGGATTATTATATCAAAGCAAAAGGACCTTGTTGTGCTGCAGTCTAGGAAGTGAACCTTTCTCGACGTGCTTCTTATGCTTTAATGTTCTCTTCCAGGAAACACAGGTTCCTCTACTTTACTCCAGGGATCTGGCAGCGGAGTGCCATCTACCCACCCGCACCTTTTACCAGGTTCCCCTTGCTCATCTCCAGCCTTCCATCTCAGTCCCAACACCAGCCAACTCTGTAGTCTTGCTCCTGCCGACTACACAGCTTGCGCCCGCTCCGGCCTGACCCTGAACAGATACAGCACGTCTTTGGCTGAGACCTACAACCGGCTCACAAACCAAAGCAGTGAGACGTTTGCGCCCCCGCGGACTCCCTCTTACGTTGGCGTGTCGAGTAGCGCAACTGTGAATATGTCCATGAGTGGCAACGATGGGGATGCTTTCAGCTGCCCACAAACTGGCATTTCTATGCAGATTTCAGGGATGTCTCCACAGCTCCAGTACATCATGCCATCCCCATCCAGCAATGCCTTTACCACTAATCAAAGCCACCAAGGCTCCTACAACACATTCAGACTGCACAGTCCCTGTGCACTCTATGGATATAACTTTTCCACATCCCCTAAACTGGCTGCCAGTCCTGAGAAAATTGTTTCTTCCCAAGGAAGTTTCTTGGGGTCCTCGCCAAGTGGAACCATGACGGATCGGCAGATGTTGCCCCCCGTGGAAGGAGTGCACTTACTTAGCAGTGGGGGGCAGCAGAATTTCTTTGACTCTAGGACCCTAGGAAGCTTAACACTCTCGTCTTCTCAAGTGTCTGCACATATGGTTTGATGAAGCCTTAAGTAAAAGTACAGTATGTTTGGTGTCTACAATCTATTTCTTTTGGAATATGAAAGGACACTCGATGTAGCTTGTAAAGCATGTGTATATATAATATGAGAGGAAGTTTCACTGAATTTTTGATTTGCTTGTGGCCAGATTATTCTCCTATTTTGAGTTACATGGAGTTTGTTGCGGCACGGACTGCTTTAGTTTTTCTGGTATAATATACTTAGTTGTATAACACGTCGGGACATATGCAACAAATTAAGTAAGACTTCCTCCCCTTTTCCCCCTTCCTCTGTTCTAACCCCTTTAAAGAATGAAATGACACTTAGAGTATTGAACAACACAAACAAGCCCACGTACATGTCCTATAATACTAGGGAGTTTCTCTAAAACAGTCTTGCAATGCTAAGCTGATGCACCAAAGACATTTTACAAGTTTCTTCTGTTGTAAGGGATATGAAGGGCATTTGGACTTAAAGTGTTAAACGTCAAGCATCCAGTCTGAAACAGAAGCTTAGCTAATGGATTATTTATACAAAGTGAATGGAAGGAATAGTTTGCCTCCTCATGATATGCTGTTTCTAGCATATCTGGCATTCTTACTAGGATCTTCTTCAGTGTTAGCCTAGATTTATGATTAGGTGTTTAAAGAAAGGATTTAAAGACAAATAATGCAGATTCAAACTGTGGTGATACGAGTGATTTTAAACCAACAGCAGAAGCAGCATCCCTTGGGACAGAATGAAAACTTCGGGATGCTTCATTTTGTTAAAAGAAAGGCTAGATGCATTTTTTTCACCATAAATATTACCTATAAGACATTTATTGGACAGTAGGATATTCTAATGTATCTTTGTTTTTGTATTTTTACTTTTTTTAAAGGAAAATGCAGGTTTGATTAAAAAAAAAAAAAAGTAAGCAGGATAAGAAATTCCTGTGTTTTGGGGTATTTTTTTTATAAGAGCAAAATGCCCCTCATCCTCAGAATCTCATAAATTAATTGCTGATACCAACTAGGCAGATAACCCAGTTTGCCCACAAACTGTTGCTGGAAGCAGAACTTTGTGGTAGCTGCCTCCCCGTAAGTCGGCCAGGATTGGGACCAGGATTATGATAGGCCAAATTCCCATAATAGTTTACTTTGAATGCTACAGCATGACACCTACAGGCTATTTCCCCGTCTCCAGAGAGCCGTCTGTCTTCCTTTCTTGTTCCTTCTGCCATGAGGTTACTGCTGTTCTGTTCCTTAAACAGTCTCTGCCATGAAATTTAAGCAGTTCACTTCCTTCCCATCCCTGGTTTTAACCAGGATTTGTAGAAACTCGGATCAAAATCTGCTCCTGACCAGGCATCTCCAGAGTGACAAGGGCATGGGGAGATCCTTGTGTCTCTGGGAACCTTCTGCCCTTGTCCGTGCCTGCCTAGTGGCTGTGTCCATCTGCCTGCTGCGGAAGCCGCCCTTCGGCTGCCCACCTGTCAGAGTGTTAAATGTGGAGGATATGGGACGTGTTTCAGTGCTTGAGAAAACAGCTCTTCCTCCACGCTACCCTAGGCCTCCTGTGTATTGTGCAGGTGGTTTCAAGACGTCTTCAAGTGGGTGCAAATGCAATTGAAAATGCTTCCCTGGCTAGCACTATGGCAAGGGGAATAAGGCCTGCAAAGGTTATGTCTTTTTCTTCTGTCAGATTTTAGCAAAAGTAAATCATTTTGTTTCTCAAAAGTTCAAATATGTTTTCTGGCAAACAGTGACCTAACCGCTCCCAGTTTAAGAAATGCTCATTGCAGCTAATATTTCTTCGTGGGGAGGGAGATAATGGAAGAGAAACAGACCCCTCTCTAGCTCTTCTTATTATTTAGAGAAGAGAAACCACGATAGCATTTAATTAAGCTCTTGCACAGAGAATACTCTATTTTTACTAGTTATATGTATGCTTGTGTTATACATATAAAGATGCTGATTTATAAAGTTCTCATTCAGAGCTGGAAAGTCTAGAGGATGAGTTTGGAATTTTCAAGATGTGGGTTTGCTTCTCTGCTCTGTCACAAGCTACCCAAGTGACACTGGGCAATTCCCTAGCCCTCTGTATCTGATTTTTTTTTTCCAACTGTAGAATGGAATAGCACTTCTGTGCCTCACAAGATATGGGAACACTATGCTAAAGACACAAGTATGTTTAGACAGTCTTCATGTATGAAGGTAACACGGCATTTATGTACTTTGGATCTGCAGTTGGTTCTGGTGTTCCAGTCTCCTTTGAGTCAGTTCTTCAAGTAAAGGCTTCCAATGCTAAAACACTGCTCAAACAAGACAGAACAAAACAAAAACAAAACCCAAACTAATAATTTATAAAATAGTTTTAAAATGTGCAGAAGATGGGCAAATTTTGAACTGTGTAACTACATAGCTGCATTGATTTAATTAACAAGATGCAAGTAGAGTAATTTCTGCTCTAGTCAAGACTTTGAAATGTTGCAGTTGGACAAAGCTTTAAATCAGGGGAGTGGTACAATTAATCTGTACTTGAAAAAGGATAAGCGAGATAATTCTATATGTCATCTTAAGGGACTGTGGCTGGGTGGAAACATGGAAGAGCTAAATCATGCATATTTCTGCAAAGGAGAACAAAGGTTTATGCGTGGAGGTGCTCCTGGTAATAGTACGTATTTTGTCATCTGGGATTTTTCTAGTACTGGTTTCTTATTTTTCCTCAAATTATTCTTATATAACCACACAGTATTGTTTGAAACATTTGTTCCTTAAAATTTGAATCATATTGTAAATACTTATTGGTGTGTCATTGTGAAAAGACTAGCTTTTTATTGACATAGTAAATGCTATATATGCATTATATCTATAATTATATATCTGTATTTTGCAAAAATGCCACAGAAAATATATTAAAGTGTGTATCTAAACACTTCTTATTACATTTGGAAAATTAAGGCGCTTGTGCCTTTTTTTTTGTCTGCATCTTCCACAAAAACAAAATAACTCACAAGTGATCTCTGAAATTCAAAGACCTGATAACCTGCAAGGATTGAACTAGTCCACAATTCTTACACGTTTCTATTTAAGTATGTGGTGTTGACTGTCTCTGTCATTGGTATGTGAGGTCCATGACAGATGCGGAGCGCAAGGATGTTCTGGTAGCTGAGCTGTGAGGGTTTTTGTTACAGAAGGCAGCAAGGAGCTGGCAAAGCCCACCAAGCACTCATGAAGCCTTGCTAGTGCTTCATCCCGGTTAGCAAGACAAGTGCAGCTGCCCATGGTCAGGCAGATCGAGAAATTTTCGCTTACATGTGATTGGGTGCTTTGATACCCTGCATATTTTCTCTCTGTGTTCTTATTTCTCTCACTCACTCTTTGGTCTTTGTATTCCAAATGCTAAAATCCATTGATTTCCAAGAAGTAATTTGCATATAATCTGGGTATACCGCGCTGCCCTTCTGCAATGAGCAACATTTCTCCCTTCAGAAATACTGTTATCTGTAGCGACCTTATTTCCCATTGTACTGAAATAAATGATTCCATGTGGTCAGACACAGAGCCTGAAAATATGATTACTGCAGAATAATAGTGTTTCATAGGCACTTAATATCAGCATTGTTGCAAATGACCAGAATTAGGACAAGAAAAGTGGGCATGAAATGTTTGATCATAAATATCTGCCCTAAAAAAAATCTGCTCTAGAGGGAATTAAAATTTCTGGTTTTAATAAGAAGAGAAGCAGCTTTTAAAATAATGGAATGATCAGACTCTTGAGAAGTAAAATTCCCTGCTTAAAAAGAACAGGACCGGCTTCAAGATCACAGACAGTGTTGGCACTAATGCTAGCAAATCTATACTGAGAGTAGTTCAACAGTGGAAATAAGTCATCAGGAGAGGTACTCCACAGTTCTGTGATTAAATTTGATATTACATTAGGATAGTAGACCTAAGTATTCCATACAGAAGTGAGTTTCTAAAAGCTACAGAGCAGTTACTTTTTAGAGGCTTATACATCAACTTCACATACGAATTCATTATTTTGCTGCATTCCTATGAATATGCTCTCAAACTCTCATGGCATGGTAATGAGGAGGTAATTGCTCATGCTTGCAGATAGCCTCTCCACCTCAACTGACCCAATATGTTGATTTGTCAATTGAATGCTTTGTTAATGTGATCTTTAGACACAACATTTCTCCTTGTGCGTAACACAAAGTCATTGATATGCAAATTTAATTTATACCAAATGACATAGTAGTTAATACTTTACATTCTCCACTGTACCTGAACGAACACAGAACATCCGAGAGCTCACCACTTTAGTAAATTCCTCCTTTGATGGCATTTCTAAATCTTGGAAATAACAAAGCACCTAGACTAGCAGCAGAGAATATCACGTAAATGGAGGTAGCTGATGGTCCCACCTTACACTTTCAAAGTATAATACCATTAACGTAAAGAAAACATGGACTGTGACAGCACCTACAGTGAGGAAGTCTGTCCAAATATATCTCAATGTACTTCTCACACAAGTCCAAAGACTGATATCAGAACTGACAGCAAAGACTGGTGAAGAAGAATATTGCAGCAAGTTAAATGCAGGCACAGCACAATCTTAAGACAACAGCCATTTCAATTTGCTGTGCCCTGATGTTCATTTCTGCACCCCTGAGTTTTATTTGCATGCTATAACACAGGTCCAATAGTAAATTTTGAAGCACATCGGAGGAAATCCATGTACATGCCCACCTGTTGGGCTCTACTGTGGCCAGTGGTTGTGCTGCCACTAACTTGTGAGAGATTTTGCCCATTATGTCTTACAGGTACCACATTCTCAAACCCAAAGCAATTCCACTTTCTGTTGCAGAGTGCTTTACGCATGCAGCTGCTGTAGTCATACTGCTTTCAGCAGGGAAATTCTCCAGGCCCTTTGAGGTGTTTTTCAGGTGGGTAACAGGCTTTATGCATTTCATATGCTCATATTTTGATTTTAAATTTGTGCTCTTGAAGTTTTTGAGCTGTCTCACAGTGAAAGGTAAGATGAACAGGGAACTTCAGGCTCCCTCTCCATCAGAATCATTGCCAATGGATGGTGCTTTCATTTCTACTGCAGATAATTGACTATATATTTCCCACAATGTTTTTTATTGCATTTTACAGAGAAAAGTAATAAAAATAGAGGCTATATCACAATCAAAGCAGTGTTTCCATTCCTCGGGCAATATTTTTCACTAACCCAAAAGAAAACACTTCCCCACCCTTTTCTGGTCATTCTGCTTAGTATATAGCTCTCAGTAAGAAGAAAACCAGATGCCACTTCTTTATGTAAGAAGGCAGAAACCAGAAAATCAGAACAATGGCTCCCAATTCATGGAAATGCTCCCCAACAGCCTTTGCATTCTTTGAAGCACAACATAGACAAGAATGTTTCTAGAGACATCTGCAAAGACCCTTAGATACATCATCAAGTAGATAACTATTTGGTAGGTTTGTGTGCGTGCATGCCTGTCTCTGTGTGTGTATGATAAACAGCTTGTTTAAACAACATGTAATCTGAATTACCTGCATGGTCAATCCCACACAAAGATGTGTGAGCCCACGTCATTTAGGTGGCCCTAATAGCAGTCGCAGCATAGCTTCACACAGGTTGAACAGACCTCCAAATTATGTTAAGAGACTAGTTCTCATAACCAGAATGACTGTAACTTGTCAGGGAGAAGAGTTACATGCCA